ATAGTAAGTCCATATTTATTTAGCAAAAGCTTGAGATTTACATGAAGTTGTGTAACGAAATGATTTTTAATCCGGTCTCCTAAAAGTACCAGTTTTTTTTTTTTTTTTTTTTTTTTTTTTAAATGACTACAGACAAACGTAATTTATTTCTCTCTCCAAATTCTATTGAATTATCACAAGTTTAAGTCAATTAACTGCATGTTGATTTCCTTTATCTCTTCCATATTCGTGAGTTAAATAAGTGCAATCAATTGAAGTAAAATTACTGGTGCAGCGGATTCTTCCGCTAAAAATGACGGAAACTTCGGCTTCAAACGATTCACCAAATGAAGTCAACCACGATAATGCACCAGAAGCTATGTCCTGGAAAGTTGTGTCTGGACGAAAACGACATGTAGCTTCAGACAGAGATCCACGTCACAAACAAATAAAGGTTAGTGATACTATTATTACTAACAATCGATTCGAAGTTTTATCAAATACTCCGGAAGATAGACAGCCAGCAAATAATAATCCCATTATTATTAGACCTCCACCTATTCATATAAACGATGTGAAAGACTACACGGCATTAGTAACCTATCTTCACAATGAAGGTGGCCCTAACAGTTTCAGGTTGAAAACGTCTATGAGAGGAGTCAGCGTGTATCCTGAAAACGCAGAAATATACCGTAGGTTAGTGACCAGTCTTAGAAGGGGTGGAGCTGATTTTCACACATATCAACTCCCGGAAGATAAAACGCCTCGAATAGTTATTAAAAATTTACACCACGCCACACCTCCAGCGACCATAAAACAGGAACTTGCCAACTATGGTTACGAGGCAACCAACATCGTAAACGTTATATCAAGATTCAAAACACCGTTGCCAATGTTTTTCGTTGATGTGTCCAAAACAACGTTCAATGATAAAATTTTCGACATTGAATTCCTGTATTACACACACGTGAAGATCGAAGAGCCAAGGAAAAAAAGGATCATTCCGCAGTGCGTACGTTGTCAGCATTATGGCCATACCAAGACGTACTGCAACCACCAGCCGAGGTGTGTAAGGTGTGGTATGGATCACGAAAGCACTTCCTGTACAAAGACTCGAGAAACAGTCGCAAAATGTGCCAACTGCCAAGGACCACATCCTGCTAACTACAGAGGTTGCGAAACTCTGAAAGAGCTTAGGAAGACCCGCACAAGAAACCATACTCTGCAAAGGCCTCCTAGAGTTCAACCCCCACCACCAGAACTACACGAGTTCCCACCACTGCATCAGCCTCAATACCCTCATCCGATTCTCTCAGGACCAGAACAACAGCAGCAGAGACAGCAACGAAAACCAGCACCGGCAACAAACCAAGAACAAAGGCCTAAAGGTATGAGTAGGGGCATTGCCCAAACGCTCCCTACTATTGAAACCTCCTCAGGTGATATCATACATTTGATTAGCGGTCTCAATAACCTCATACAGCCCCTCTTCAGTCTTCTACAACAGCTATCTCAGGCTACTCTCGCTCTTACCCAAAAATATGCCCCGTAATCAGACGACTGTGGGCTCCATGTCTATTATACTATGGAACGCAAACGGACTGAATCAACATAGAACCGAACTAGACATATACTTACACGAGAAACGCGTTGACATTGCACTAATAACAGAAACACATCTGACACCACATTCTAAATTTTACATCCGTGGTTACAAAATCTACAGAACTGACCACCCAGATGGAACTTCACATGGAGGCACTGCCATAATTATCAAAACAACTCTAAAACATAATCCTTTACAATTATCCATAACACCAGAGATTCAAGCTACAGCCATTACACTATCAACACAACAACAAAACATTACTCTTGCTGCGGTTTATTGCCCTCCGAGGTATGTTCTGACACCCATGATGTTTAGTAATTTCTTTAAACGTCTTGGTAGATGCTTTGTTGCAGGTGGCGACTACAACGCCAAAGATCAGTTCTGGGGATCCAGACTATCTACTCCAAGAGGAAGGAATCTTAGGTATGTTCTTTATGAGCTTTCATTAGACACAATATCACCTAATTCACCCACGTACTGGCCAACTTCTAGACGGAAAACACCAGACTTACTCGATTTTTTCATAACTAAAGGACTCCGAACAACACCTCACACTATAACAACGAGTTCAGATCTTTGCTCTGATCATTCCCTTTTGCATTTGGTATTGTTTGAAGAGCCTTGTGAAGCTACAAAAAAACTGTCCCTGATCAATGGCATAATGGATTGGGACAGGTACAGGAACCAATTGGACACTGCTCTCTCTGTTCCTCTATCCATTAAAAACGAAGAAGAACTTGAGGATGCCGTTGAATACTTCACACGAAATATCCAAGAAGCAGCATGGTCTTCATCAGTACCAAAACCTCAAAAATATGAGTTCCTACCAATGTACCCACAATACATAAGGGACTTGATCAGAGCGAAGAGGAGAGCTCGCAAAATATGGCAGACTGACAGACTCCCATCAGATAAACGAACTTACAACAGACTTAATAATGAACTCAAGCGACAGATTGGAAAATTCAAACGAACAACCTAGGACAACTACATCAGAAATCTCTCAACCGACGATGGAAGCATGTGGAGACATACTAAAAACCTTATTAAGCATCGTGAAGTGTCAGCACCCCTTCGAAGACAAGATGATTCCTGGGCCGTGACGGACGGAGAAAAATCAGAACTCTTTGCCGAATATCTTTCTTCTGTTTTTGTACCACACACAGACTTCACTAACACTGTGCACGATAACAATGTACTAAACACTTTAGACATGCCCTTACAACTAACTTCACCTCCTATTTCATTCACACCTTCACAGATTGCTGAACAAATCAAAAAGTTGCCTAAAAGAAAAGCTCCTGGACATGACTTGATTAACGCTGAAGTGCTCCAACAAATGCCTAGAAAAGCTCTAGTGCTTTTGACAACTATTTATAATACAATATTGAGGACAACTAAATTTCCCCTACAGTGGAAATACTCACATATAATAATGATTCACAAGCCTGAAAAGGACAAAAACTCACCTTCCTCATACCGACCAATCAGCTTACTACCTATCTGTTCCAAAATTTTTGAAAGCTTACTGAACAAAAGACTTGTTGATATACTAACAAACACCCAAATAATACCTGACCATCAATTTGGATTTAGGGCACATCACTCAACTATACACCAACTACATAGAGTAACGGACTACATATCTACAGCACTAGAGCAGAAAGTATATGCAACTGGCGTATTTCTGGATGTTGCTCAAGCGTTTGACAGAGTTTAGCACCAGGGTCTTCTCTTTAAACTCAAGACAATACTCCCACCTACATATTATCTAATTCTACAATCCTTCCTTTCCGATAGATTTTTCTCGGTCCGACACGGGTCAGAACTATCTTCCATCAGGTCTATCTCAGCAGGAGTACCTCAAGGTTCAGTACTCTCTCCACTACTCTATATCACATACACCCATGACATACCTTGTAGTCCCAACATTTTAACAGCGACATATGCAGACGACACAGCAATTTTAGCAAGACACAAAAATCCAACATACGCCTCACAGACCCTACAACAGTATTTAGCTAGATTACATGACTGGTTCAAAATTTGAAAAATCCGACTAAATCAAGACAAATCACATCACATCACATTTACGCTTCGACATGAAACATGCCCTCCAGTTTTCCTTGACGATACACAGATTCCACAGACAGACACCGTTCACTACCTTGGTCTGACATTTGACAGAAAAATGACGTGGGGCCCACATATAATCAAAAAACGAAAAACTTTAAATCAAAGATTAAGAATTCTGAGTTCACTTCTTTCAAAAAATTCAAAACTAAAACTTAGACAGAAATTGAACACATACAATTACTTACTAAAACCTATTTGGACTTACGCATCACAGATATTTGGAACTGCTAAAAAGACTCACTTAAACAAACTTCAAATCTTTCAAGCAAAAACATTCAGAACAATTACAAAAGCACCTTGGTACGTTAGCAACATAACCTTACATACTGACCTCCATATGCCGACTGTTAACGAACACATACGTATTCATTACAAACGATTCCATGACAACTTACAAGGACACCCTAATACACTTATAAATGACATGGCCACTACGAATATGCCCGGTAACGTCTGTAGGAGACTGAAGAGGAGCTGGATGAGGGACCTCCTCGCCTAATGTAGAGATCACGCCGAGTGAGGTGCCGCTGGGCACTGATCCTCCTCATGCCTTTCATGACAATTCTATTAATCAATCGATCTCACATTCACTGGTTGTCATTAGCATTATGACAGGTGTGAATAAAACATTAAAGCTAAAAAAAAAAAAAAAAAAAAAAAAAAAAAAAATGACTACAATTAACTCTTGTAAAGTTTTTATTTCTTGTTTTTCCATGATACGATATGTAATTTAATAAACATAATTGCCTGAATACACTTTCTATTCATAAAAAAAGTTTAATTTCTAAGAGTACTTAACTCTCAAAGATTTGACAGCTGTTTTTTTTTCCTCACTACCACATTTACACGTGGGACTATTTACAATTATTTGTACACGTCGATTGTCGATTTAGTTGATTGTGGTTAATCCAGAATTTGAATATTTCAGCTTTATTTTTTTTTTATGGTATGGAGTTTGAGAATTGGAGCGTGGATGTTTGGCACTTCAACTTTATCTTATGTTAGCTTCATTAATATAATAGTTTTGAACGTTAATCTGAAAAAAAAATCTATACGTTTAGCAGTGATTGCTTGGACTTATTCTCAGACAATTTCTTTCAGTTGCTTTCACATTACAACTTTAATATCTATTCATAGTAAATTATATTAATTATTAAAATTCTTAATTTTTAGTATGGGATTAAAATGCAAAGATTGTTCAAAATTTTAAACCCATACGAATTTAAATTAATCTTAAATTGATCTATCGATTTTCACTTACACTATTTTTGGAGGGAATTTGATGTTAAAATTTACTTTTGATTACCACTTCAAAATTTAAATAAATATTAAAGTTTTACACATGTAACACCATTGATAAGAATAGTTCATTTTTATTCAAGGATTCGGCCATATGTTTTTAGTTAATGATAAAGATAACTAGTTTTTCAAAATTGAAACGCATCATGACAAGCAATTAATAATTTAAAAGATATTTTTGTTTTTATAGCATACTAGAATGAGTGCTGAAGGGTAAATAATTTATATTATTATGTTATTTACTTAATTAATCGTTATTTACTTATATGTTCCTCATTGCTGTTTACTCATGCAGATCAACTATTACACATAACAGTTTTATTATAAAGGAACCAACCGCTTAACTTCTTAAAATAGTGTTAGTAATAGTGTTTTTTAATATAAACCAAGTTTCAAGTTTTATTCATTTTAAAAGATTCAACGGACTTACGTGATAATATTATTGATAATGCTAATTCATTGTAACCATAATTATTGATAACGATAACCCATATGTAACCTATCCTTAGGTTGGTAAGAGCCTTTCAGTTGACAGAATGACATTTTTCAACAGTTTTGTATATTAATTTTAGTGATATATATAGTGGGGAAAATGTATACCTTTATTCACAGTTCTATATTTCAACATTGCAATCATCTACTCTGGAATCAACTTACTCAATGTCAGTATAGATATTATAAATTTTTTATCTAGAAATATCACTAAAATAATTTTACTCAAAAATGTTGAAATTAGAGTTAGTGATTTCGTCAACTGAAAGGCTTATATAGCACCAGAATGATGACCAAGAAAAACGTAAGTACCTTAACATAAATAAGGAAAATGGTATTTCATCTGAAGTAACAACGTGAGTCTTTAATTTAACAGTTACTCTTTAGTAACTAAATTGATAGAAATTCAGAAATTGTGTACCAAGAAATAGTGTAGCCAAATTTTACCAAGAAAAAATACACTTTCAACTCCTGCAATATCTTCGAACATCATCCTAGACTTTGTTTATAGCAGATATTTTAAGTTTTTGCTCTTTACCATCTGTATTAATATAAGCTTTTAAATACATTTACGCATGTATTAACTTATTTGACAGAATTTGATAAAAGTAATATTTTACAATTTTTTCCTAAGTTCCATAAGTTCCTAAACTTTCTATAAGTTTGGACCAAATCGGACGTACAGTTTTCCAAATATCGAAATATTAAAGAAAATATTTTAGCACATAAATAAGAAAAAAAAAGAAAGAAATCCTAATGAGATAATGGATTCAAAACAGTTACCATATCTAACCTATAATGCTGAAAATAAAACCATATATATTACATATTTATTTTTCCTTCAAGGAAACAGGCAAAGCCTACTTTACGTAGTTCTCAACTAAAGCACCAAAAATATTAAATACTATATATGCATAAATATTTCAATAAATCTATCTACGTTCTCAGTATAGGTTACACACAGCTATCTGAACTTCAACATAACCTAAAAACTCTATAAATAAAGAGAAAAAAAATATTAAAAACAAAATTTCCTTAATTACAAATACCAAGAATATTAAATATTTCTGAATATTTTTAATACAATAGAGAAATATCATTCAATAACCAAATTTTAAATTGATCATAATTTTAAAATAAATTTTACAATATATATCATCATAATATATAACAAAGTTATAAATGTTTCTTTTCCCCTCAAAACAACTGATTTATACAAATCAAATAATAAAATATTAAAGCTTTAATTAGCAATGTTAATTGACACAGATGAATATTTGATTGCACTGGATTAGTTTTACTAATATGATAAATCACTTAGTAAAATATGTAATAAAATGAAAAGCAGTGTATACATATCTTTTGCGCATATGCATATACATAAATATTATTGATAAGTATTCAATGATAACTCTAATATAATCTAGAAAGTCAAAATATATATAAATATATTTTATTTCTTAAAAAATAATATAACTACATATTTTATATGTTCTTAGTACTTTTCAACTAATATAGATGTCCCAACATTAAAATTCTTTTTAACAACCAGTTTTCCTCATTATACATAGATACATTGATTTTTAATTAACAATATCTGAATGTTATGGCGGGAGGTAAAATCCGTAAAACAGTTGAGAACGTATATTCTTCTGGCATAAAACAGTCGTGTACGATTTTCATACGGTTTTTCATTTTGTCTGGTCTTGAAAATTCTTTGTCATAAACAAGGCAGGGATCAAAGAGGATGGAATTTCATAAAATTGATATTGAACCATCTTCATATCAACCCATACATTCACTGAAAATTTTATCAAAATCGGATCAATAGTAGTAGTTGTATCCATTATATGGTTTTGACTACATATAGACCATTAAATATGTTTCTTAATGTCTATTAATGACGAGTAAAAATTTCCGTTCTGGAGAGTTTTTTTTTTCAATTCCTACATTAATACTAATATTTCCTTAATTGGTAAATGGTTGACTGTCGTGAATAATGAAGAGAAGAATAGTTGGGATGGTCAGTCAAAAAGGAAGGCAAAAATAAATGATATTTATTTTTACATATTTTTTTTTCGGAAAGATGACGAAATAATGAATACGTTAAATTTATTTTCTTTATGGATTTGATATATTTATTTTTTTTAAAATATTTTATTATTACGATTATTGTTATTTTTTATTTTACTCAATAAAAATATTGACTAATCCGTTTTAATTTATCGGTAGTCACTTTTTATTTTACTTCAAACTTCTACACCGTTGATCCTTGATGATAACATGTATTTGTTTAATATAACAAACAATATAAAATTAACTCATCTTGGTAAAAGTTATAATTTATTTCTTAAGATAATAAAAGGTATTATAATTGATGAATTTCTATTCCACCTTAAAAAAATTTGCCAATTTGTCTTGATTATGAAGCTTTTCTAGTTAATAATTAATTATAATAAAAATCTAATCAAAATTCATTATCTCTCAAGCAATCTGACTTGTTATGAAATAAAATTTTGTACAATATTTAATTATACTTACCAGCAAAAAAAATTTTTTTTTTGCCAGTTTTCATGAATTTTGTAAGCATATGCGATATCTAAATTTAAAAAAAAAAAAATAATTCAAAACGGCATTTTCAAAACCTACGCTTCCATTAAGGCAATGGTGAACCTGAATATAGAATAAATCCAATATGTTAAAATACCTTTATTTGTATTTCTTTATAACTATTTTTTGCATAATATAGAATAAAGCAACACTAATCAGTTTATTTTTAAAGCAATAATTAATAAATTAGTCATTATCTGAATTATTCATTATTATTATTTATTTATCTGGCATTACGCAGCTATGGCTTGTATCTCTTTACTCCCAAAGAAAAAATATTATTGTTATGCCATTAAATGGAGCATATGGACGGGACAGTTATAACTAACTACGAAGTAGATTGAAAGTTTCTATTTAACTCTATTTTTTAAAAATATGGGCTTATACCTCTTTTTTTCTAGTATCCTTAAACAGTATCAATTATGAAAAAAAAAAAAAACAGAAATATTTATACGAAACGATTGTACTTCGTTTTCTTTACAGCCCAGTGGATTTCTGTCCAAAACCGAAACCGAAAGTTGAAGAAGCTGAACAACCCAAGAAGAGACCATGTAAAATAATAAGGTAAGTTAACAATATGATAAATTGTTATTAAAAGAGCATATGGGGTCATTAAAGTATACTTACATGGGTATTTTTAATTAATTAATAAATTAATAATTACAAGAAAATGACATTATTGAACCCTTTCACCTTCTCTTAATGCTTCAATTCTATTTATTTCGACTTTTCAGGCCAACTTTGTCCATTTTCAAGTCGAACTTTTTATGTCATTATCTTATCCTCACCTTCGTCAAAAGTTAATTTCATAACTATTTATGAACAGTCAATTCAAGTATAGAGATACTATTGGACAAGTCTCACTGCTTAAATTAAAAAAAAAAAACTCTCATTCAAATGCTGTAAAATTTTCGTAAAATCTTCAGTGGAAATAAAGCTATTAAAAAGATATGAAGAAAATGTATAGCATTTGAATGAAAAATTAAAAAAAAAATTTTTAGGTAGTGAGACTTGTCCAATAGTATCTTTATTTTAATTGTTGAATGGACTTTTCATAAATAGTCATGAAATTAACTTTTGAAGAAGGTGAGAATAAAACAATGATATGCAAATTTCGACTTGAAAATGGACAAACTTTGCGTAAAACGTTGTCTAAATAAATAAAAATAAAAATGAATTGAATCATTAAGAGGAGATGAAAAGGTTCAACAATGTTATTTCCTTGAATTAAATTTTTATTTATTAAATAATTATGATTAATTATACTCGCCTACTTAGAGTACGAATACCGTAAGTATTCACTGATAATATATATTGAGTATTAAAATTAGTGTATTCATACTTACAGTATTTGTAAGAAACTAAATAAATACTTTTACTGTATTTATATTCAAGAGTATGATTTTAACGAATGGCTACTGGTCAACTCTGACTTGATTTTTTTTTTTAATATAGATTCTTATTTTAGTCTATGGTATAGGCCCACTCACATCTTAACCTACAAATATTTTATTTACGAAAATTCTCGGAATTGGTGCGTTTTCAATCTGCAGGTCGGCAAACTTTCTCCATTTAATTAGGTAATAAAAACTCGTATATACCCATTTCCTTTCAACTTGAATCGTAAGATAACTTGATTAAAAAGTCGAAGAAAAGGTGGCTTTAAAAAATATTGAGCCGTTTGGCCTATATAACCTCGTTATTTTCACAATTCGTGGGTGTATATCACTCTTATAAACGGCTCATTATTTTTGAAGGCTACATTTTTTCCAGTTTGTGATCAAATTATCTTACGATCCAAGTTGAAAGCAAATGGGCATTTACGAGTTTTCAGTACCTAATTAAATGGAGAAAGTTTGAACCGACTTCCAGATTGAAAACACTCCAATTCCGAGAATTTTTGTAAATATAATATTTGTAGGTTACGATGAAATGAAGCTAATTACGAAGTTTCAACCGGATTATTATAATTATTTGATAAAAAGGGGCCTGTACCACTGAGTATTATTTATTCTTATCATATATTTATTACATTATATTATATATTTATTATTATTTAATGTTAAAATTGGTGTTGATTATTATTAATTGTAATTTTTTTTTTGACAGGCCAGATTACTGTCCCCCCATTCCAGATCCTGATCCTTGTGAAGGACCATTTCTGTGAGGTTTAAATTCATTTATATAATAGTTTTTAATGATATTAAATTTACTTTTAATTCAGTTTATTTATTTAGTTCTCATTAAAATTATATTGATCGTGTGTTTCAATATCAGGTTCGACTATACTCCAGAACAACCATCAAGAGGACCACCACAATTCCCTGAAGAAATATTTGCATGGCAGTGGAAAAGATGTTTGAATGACCTGATGTGGAAATTAGGTTTGTTAGTTGCACTAAATCCTAATTTTACGTACCTATCATGACTATTATTCATAATTATCTATAGTTCGTTATTTTTTTTTTTCAAACAGTTTTATAATTTTGAATTTTTTCAAAATTATTCACAAATTTACATTTAATGACTTAAAATTACTCAGAAGATTTAGGTTTTAATTTTTTTTAAAACAAATCTTGGGACACAGATGTAGCACTATTTTCTCGAGAAAACTGAGTATAGTACTTTTTATGTATATGCGGATATATTTATGCCAACCTTAAGTTATTACTTTTCTTGAATAGGAAGCATTAAGTTATAAAAAAATTAATTTAGGTAATTAATAGTTGCTTTAATTTAAACCAGACAAAATTTCCAATAAATAAATACCAAATTAGTCTTTTGTTAAAACCGTTTAAAAGAACCTTTCATAAAATAATGGATTGTTCGCGATTTGTTTTTATCACCTACTTGTTTGATTCTGTTGGATGATTCTGAAGTTTATTATGGAAGGATAGGTATCTGGATTGGGCCAGATCTGAAACATAAGGAACATTAAGATCTTTAGATCTGGATTGGATTGGAGGTATAAGGATTGGATGTGAGAGGAATTCGATGGTTTAGTGGAGCCCCATAGCTCAACTCCTTAAGTCCAAATAGGTCTTATTATAGTCAAGTATATGAGTCTTTTGTAATTAATGGGAAGTTTAGAGCGTTTGTCTAGTAAGTGCTGAAGTAATCGGAAACGTCGAGCGGTTTCTTGTCGTTTCAGTCTAGTATGAGGATTCCAAGTTAGTCGTTTGTCCAGGTGGAGTCCTAGGTATCGGATTTACTCAACAGGGATAAGTGGAGTATTGTTAAAGGAAACTGTAGGACAGGAAGTCGTTGGTTTACGACGAAGGGTAAAGGTAATTTGGTGGGATTTATTGGAGTTTATCTAATAACTTAATGAAGAAAATTTTTTTTTAAATTATTGTAAAAAAAGAACTTTTTCAAAAATTTGTCATCTAAAGTGACAATTCAGTGTTTTTCACACAGATCTCAAATATGAGAATTGGTCCTTATTATATTAACAAACAAATTTAAAGTTCCTATTACAAATATATACGTTTACATGAAAATAATTCAAGCAATAGGTGCGGTTAATTTTTTTAACATTAATTCAAAATCTTGAGCTGTTACTTGATAACAAATACTTAATTACTTAATAACAATTAAATGAAGATTTGGAATTATAGAATTCCAAATTATTATTTTTAAGTTCTTGGTTCAACTCTATTAAATTAGAGGAAAATAAGTAGGACATAATGATAATTTTTATAATAATTTTTTAAGACAAGATAACTCTAGAAGGTGTTGATTATATATTTTCTAAATTAATTATTTTGTCTAATTTTAATGCTTATTTTAATATATAAATCAGCATTTTTTTTTCTTGAAATAATTATTTTTATGTTATTATACTTTTTTTCTAATTAATTTATATCACAGGTTGTGGGATTTTTCTGGGATATCTTGGATCCAAGCTCATCTTTCAAAGTATGTTGATTTATTTTTTTAATTAATAATTATGTCTTTAATTAATTATTATTCAATTACTATTTTATTTTGTTTTTATCTTTATGTATTATATTGCTATTACATAAATTATTTATGTTTCTGTAAATATGGTGTGAATGTGGTCTCTGAACTCCTGATATCCTTATTGAGACAGATTGTAATATTTCTCAATAAATAAATAGATAAAATAACAATAAAATGTATACTTTTTTAAAAAAAATTATTTGTTTACATACATATACACTACACATGCCTGAAAAAAAATCTTTGAACGTTGTTCGAATATAAAAAGTTGATACGGTATACAAGTTAAAAAAAATAAAAAGGTTAAGTTAAAAAAAAATTTTGGAGGAGATTTTATAGCTAATGAACACGCTAAGGGTCTTTCTTACTCCCGTTCATTTTGTGAACGCGAAATGACAGCGGGGGGAGGGACGGGACAAAAAAAAAAAAAAAAAAAATTAAGAGAAAACAGGCAACAAAATAACCAGCGGTAGATGCTTAATTGAACAATTAAATTCAATAAACAGCCATTAAATTTAATTAAAGGCAGTGAAATGTAATCGTAGGAAGAGGCAACCGTAATTAAATTCTTCGGGGGGCGACCATAGAGCGCCCCCCCTTCCTGTTAATTTCCAGAGAGTGGGATGGCAGGCCCTTAGTCTTCCTAGATTGGATGGGGGTAAACAAGGGAACTGTTATAAAATAATAATTACAAAAGCTCTCTGTCAACTTATTATTGCAATCCTGAAAAAGAGAAAAAAAAAAAAAAAAAAGAAACCTTGTAATTTGAACAGTTCTATTAGACTAGCTGTATAAATATTCCTTGCTAATTTTCTCATTTAGTCGTTTAGTTATTCATGTACGCTGAATGAAATTATGTTTAACTTGAAATAAGATCCAGATTTTTAAATGAATGCTATGTCTAGTTTTCAGAAAAAATCTGGCCTGAGTCTGTCGGGGGTTTGGTAATATAATATATAATACTATATATTATAACAGTATTTTATGAAAATTAGGATTTATTAGGTCAAATTAATATTTAAGGTCAATATAGGACTGTAGTGGGAGTCTTGCGCCGACAAAAAAAAAAAAAAAGAAGGAAAAGATGTAAAGTATAAAATAATGATAATTAGAGAGGCTGTAATTGGTAACAGAATCTTAATCTACATAAAATATAACTAATATATAATATTTTATTGTTTTAACCGACGTTTCGACCTACGTTGAAGGCATTGACGTTTGAAGACCGGACAAGAAGTGAAAATATATATAATGTTTAAATTTAGGAAAGTATTGAGATTGTGAAAAGGTACCCTGAGTTCAAATAATCAAGTATCGCAAATATAATTGTGTTGGAAGAGAAGGATGGTTGGAGCGATCAGTCAAAATTAAAAATTGTAAAAATAAATTTTTATTTTTGCCGACGTTTCAGCCAGAAGTTAATGCCTTCATCAGGATTAAGAAAAAAACAGATAGCAATAGGTATGAGAAACTATAAACATTGGATAGTAAAGAATTAAAATTAAAAAGGTACAGACTAAACTAAAAAATGTAGATAGAAAAAACTTAAAGTAAAATTTATTTATTTCTTAACTTGTTTATTGAAAAATATTACAAGCTGTCTCAAAGTACATTTATAATAGTGTTCAGAGATCACATTCACACTCTATGTACAATAAATAAAAATAAATTAAACATAAAATAATATATATATATACAATGATAAAGTAGATAAAAGGTACATTAAAGTAAAATAAAGTAGGTAGAATAACAGTGACCGAGAACTAAGAATAATTTATATTATATTATATTATAGTAATTTAACCAAGTATGGACTAATGAAACAAACATAATCAAAATAAGGTAACATAAGAAATGAAAAATGGTAATATTAGAATAAAATGAAAGATTACCATTTTCATTTCTTTAAAATGGTTAAAAACTGTGGGACACCCAGACATTCTCTCTCACTCTCTCTCTCTCTCTCTCTCTCTCTCTCTCTCTCTCTCTCTCTCTCTCTATATATATATATATATATATATATATATATATATATATATATATAATATATATATATATATATATATATATGTGTGTGTGGAAAAAAATCATTGTGTAATAATTTATAGAGTTTTTGTATTTTCTCTCAATTGACGCTTCCGACATTTCCTTTCATATCGCAAACATTATCTTGATTAATTTCCTTTTATACTTACGCAACCCCAAGGGAGGCAAACGTAATCAGAATCTTTAGGTTACGTTAGGTGACTTACATAACTTCATTTTGAACGTCAATATTAGAAGATAATCTGACAACCCTCTCAATGCCCACCATTTTGCTAATTAAATTGGCCAACTTTGTGATTAGGTAATATCTCTAATGAAACTAGGAGAATTGGTGTTTAAACTAGGAGCTATCTATGATTAGAATCTCAATTAATTTGTTCAGATTAATTAATTCAACTGTTAAAAAAAAATAGATCTTTCAAATATCATTTTTATAATGTATCATTATAATTTATTATTAATTGTAAGGACAAATGCATAAACGAATTTGTAGTAAGAGATATACAGTATTACACATTACACCAGGTAAGTTGAACATCAGTGTTTGAAGAAATCAACAAATCTAACAAGGAGAAAGGTTAATTGTTTCAATATTGTATTCATACATACATATGCCAAAAAAATTTTTTTTTCTAAACCGGACGGGCATCGATAGTATTGTTACATGTAGGAGGTGGGGTGGCCGAGCGAGCTACCGCGTGTGAATAGCCCCGCGCGTTGCCCGGCAAACTGATAACCGAAGTTATAAACGATAAAATAATTACGAGTTCGAGTCCCGGTTCCAAAGTTTTTTTTTTTAACTCTGGCATTAATCCTCCGCCCTCACCCTGGCTCGGGAAAACCTTGCATAGCTAAAAGGCGAAGAAGGGAAGAACAGAAAAAAAAAATTACATGTACAAAATCTGGTGTTTTGTCGAAATTCAACCCGAAAATAAGAAAAAAACCTGTATCGTACATATTATACAAAAAAATAAAAAATAATACACCATGTATAAATTAAAATTTCTATCAAAAGCAACGTACGTCTAGACATACTACGTTTAATGAAATTAGTTAGTACTATCAGTAATGAAACAGAAATGTATTTGATAATTCTTTTTAATTTTAATTGGGCTGTAGTTATAAGTACAGAGTGCATGTCTGCGTGATCATGAATATATTAAATATTTACAATAATAGTTAATTAAAAGTAAAAATACAAAAGAAAGAGAGAGAGAAAAATAAATAAAAATGTAAATATATATAAAACAGTCACAGGAAAGTAAAATAACATAAATAAACAAAAATAGCCTCTGGGGTACTTAGATAGTTATCTTAGGTATATTTCATAACCGGTCGGATTGGGAAAGGAGTAGGTGTTCAAAGAGGAGAGGTTTAAAAGAAGAAACCGATTCTGCGGGTCGAATATCAGGAGGGATGGAATTCCAGAAGGAGGCGGCTTGAAATTCAAATGACTTGTCAAACGCAGCATTCGGTGAGAGGGAGGATAGAGTTCGGAAGTACGAGATCTAATGGGACGGGATTGGATGGAGTATTTAGATTAGAAGCTGTAAAAAATTTAGGAGGATCGATGAGTTCTAATGGCCAGGTGCAGAAAGGTAGCTAGTAGCTAGGAAGTACTGACGACGATAGGATGGATAGAGCCACTTCAACTTGGTGTAATACTAGGCAATCTGCGTATCTCTTGAGATTCAGAAAACCTGACAGATAATAAAGAGTTTCTATTGGCCAATGATATAATTTTTCTTACAATATTTACCACAATGGAGATGACTACGCTTTTAAGAAAAACTTATATAAGTGACGAAAACTAACTTTTGAATAAACGAAGACTAACGTTAAACCACAGTCAACTTTCTAAAGCCACTCTGACAGACGGAAATAGATTTTTAAAAATATAGCACAACAAATTATAATTAGTATACTTAATAAATGAGAGTTGGTTGCTAAACAAACCTCAGTATTACAGTGAGTAAGCCATCGACATATTGCATATTTAATGCATCTTTTTTTTAAAAATGAGAATAGATAATTCTATTATAAGCTGATGATTTTATTATTGATGCGATTATAGGAACATCTCACTTATAATCAATAAATGTTTTATCGCGTGTCAGTAGAGGACAGTGATGGGCACGTGTAACCCATGAGTACTGAGTACCGAGTACCAAGTATTGTTCTCAAATTGAATCATTGTTGGGAATTCAATAATTACTTCATTTTGACATCAACTGAAGCAGTAATTAAATTCTTTTGTACTGAAAAAAGGTCAGTATTTGAGTAAAATACTTGGTACTCTATACTCAGAGAAGCATTTGCGCATAACAGGTTAAGGATAAATTCATGTTTTATACTATCCGATAATTTTTTTTTAAAATCTTGTTTTGTTGTGAAACAATATCATGGCGTCAACGGACGTGGTGATATTATGAAGAGATTATTGTAACAAAATCTCAGAAATTCCAAATTATAAAAATATATATATATATAAATTTTTTTTTGTTTATTTTTAAGTTCCCTTATCCCAAGTTTTATGTTTGCATGATTAAATCACATAATGATATATATATATATATATATATATATATATATATATATATATATATATATATATATATATATATATATATATATATATATATTGATCAATTGTTTTCTTTTCAGAAAAGAAATGGCCTACCATTATCGGCGCGGGCATTGGTATAGGTTGGGCCTCTGAAAATTGTGAGAGGGAACTCCGATCTTGCTTCAGTTCAAATGTAAGAAATTATATATTTAGTTATTCATAGTAGATTAAGTTAACTAATAATAAGTGCTTTCATTCAAAAGGCGAAGTAAATAAAAAAAAAATATTTCAAATGAATAGTTGGAGTGATGAATAGTCCTTCATTATTTTTGTTTTGATACCAACGAATGAAAAGATAGAATTAGAGAATATGGATGGATCTTTTCTTATATCGGAACTTTCATTATCGTTTGTATGTTATGCAAACGATTCAAATGTGAAAAAAATTCATTCAGAAAATATTATTACAGAATTTTGATAAAATCGGTATTTTACCATGTATAGGTATAAAATCTATTTTATAAACAGTCATGAAATTGTATTGAAGGCAGTAGGTTTTGTGGCAGAAATTTTCCATTCTGAACACAATTTTTTATTAAATCTCTTGCTCAAATATTCCGTGGTACAGAGCCCTTTTTATCGAATTATTAACATCCGCCTGAAACTTCGTAAATAGTTCCATCTTATCTTAACCTAAAACTACGTAACTTAAAACTAAGACTCTTGAAATTGGGGCGTTTTCAATCTGGAGGAAAGCAAACTTTGTCTATCTAATAACGTACTAAAAACTCAAGTAAATACTCACTTGCTTTCTTCCTGGATCGTATGATAATTTGTTTACAAAATCGAGAAAAAATGTAGCCATAAAAAATATTGTGCTATTTGGCGCGACCTACGCCCCCAAAATTTCAAAATAACGAAGTGATATAGGACAAACGGTCCAATATTTTTGTAGATCCAACTAAAAAGCAAATGGGTATTTACTGGAGTTTTTAGTACGTAATTAAATAGACAAAGTTTGCCCCCCTCCAGATTGAAAATGACCCAATTCCAAGAGTTTTCGTAAATAAAATAGTTGTACTTTACGATGAAATGCAACTATTCACGAAGTTTTAGGCGGATGTTAATAATTCGATGAAAAGGGGTCTGTACCACGGATTATACATACATGGCATTTAATAATATTTTTATATTCATTTTTAAAACTTAATAATGGCTCAACAACTTAATATATACCAAATTCTAATTATTACGGCGTTGTACATATGGCGGTAAGAGATAGTGATACGAACCGAATTAAATAATCTAATTATAAGTTGTTGTTTTTTAAAGAATTTGGCCAAAGGTCACCAAATATAAACATTTTCACATCATGTATTTAATATTCATTTCACATTATTTATAATTATTTCACATTTATTATTTATGTATTTAATATTTAGGCTTCAAAACCTATCAAGATTCTGCAAACAAATTTCAATGTAGTTATTTTACTTTAAACTATATTTTTATAAACAATCATTTACATAGATAGCCTTAATTCCATTAAAAACAAATTATATAATATCATAATTTTTGAATATTTTAGTCTAAAATTAATGCAAAAATGATCTACCTACCAGGCCAATATTCTACCGTACCATATATAAAAAAAATATTTATCAACATAATATAATTCGTCTGTTTGTCATTCTCTCATTTCATCGAATGTCGTTTTTGTTTCTAACAGTTATAAAACAATAATTAAAATAAATTGTTAAAATTTTTGAGAAAAGAATATCATTTGATCTCAAATTATGTATCTCTTTAGTAGAAGATATTTTAATATTAACTGAGTTAGGGATCCGTTGTTTTATGGGTTTTATTTGAAGTAATATTTCGGTATATTATATTTTAATTCAGTCTATTGTGATAGTATAAAAAGTGTTAAGCTAATCTACACCCGTTTGTTGATTTACAGATTGTTCTAAGATTTTTAGTAATGAATATTTACTCCATTTTTCTCCGTTAAATAAAATTTAAAAAAAGAAAAATGGCACAGAACATAAAAAATATGACTAGAGAATTTAATTCTAAATTTTTTTCTCTCTACATACCGGATATATAACAAATACACCGAGGTATATATCACTAGATACATCAACCGGCCGAATATATTGTCAATACCCTAATCACGATAAAATGAGACCTGCATGGCCCGCGCAATAGAAAACTCATTAACCAAAGAGGCAAACACAAACACTACTATAAATTCGCAATCTACCAACCGATTGGGCCGTTTTGTCTTTTTAACGTGGGTACCGATTTACATGACATGATACTGTATTAAGGTCGGGTATATTTTTCAATTTAAATGCGTTAAATTAAGTTACATATTCGAATTATAATTAAAAAAGTATATCTTTCTATTTGTTAAGAAATTGAAAGCACATCCTCCAACGTGTTTTAATTGTTTCTCTTCAACACGTATTGCATAGTTTCATGGGATTTATTTATTAAATTTCCAATTTTTCTGAAACAAAATACTTGATTTCTCAACCGCACTATTTGGTCACGAATGCATGAATAATGATGATTTGAAGTTGTCTGAACTTTAACTAAATCTTAAATGTATTGTTCAAATGATAGTTTTGAACAAATTAATGGTATTGAATAAAAATATAATTAAAATAATATAGATGTATGGAAACTTTGTTGGCATTCAAATTAAACTTGTATATCTTCCAGCTAGGGGATTAATGGATCCAGCATGAACATTTTATCATATTGATTCACATTTGTCTCTACTAACCTTTCTGATTGATAAAAATAATATAATTAATAGATTATTAGCAACGTTAAAGAGCAACTAACTCTAAGGAAACTTAGAGTACAAATAGCTAAACTAAGTTACTTTACTGTCATATAAATAACTATAAATAGCTCTATGATATGATTATTTAGCCCCGTCCTATAATTATAAACAAGATACTCAAAATATATATTTATAAAAAAACAAGTTAACCGTTAACATTATTTATTATTGTGTCAAACGACTAGAATAAATTAGTTATTACAATATTTTATTTTCGTTTACTTACTATTGATAAATGGCTATTCCTGTATTTATTCTGATAATTATTTGGAAGCAATTCCCGTCTTACTAACTAAATATTTATCAATCATGATGTATGATGCAAAGTTTGTTTAACACAGGCAATATTTACATTTTAAAATTAATATTGAAGTAAATAAATATTTTTCGACGTGATTCGTTTTTCCGCTTCTGTAAATATGAGGAAAAATGTATGTAATTTTCATTACCTTTTTACATTTTTTTTTAAAATAAAATTTTCATATTTAATATTTAATTGTATGGATTACAGCGATATAAATATTAAAATTTGTATATATAAGGGTACTTAAACAAATGAAAATACCCTCAAAGAAATATAAATAAATATAGCGTCTACAATCTGTACTCTTGGGCGCATTGCTAAATTCCTCAACCAGAATGTAAAGTCCTTTTCCATGAAATTTGTAATTGTGGATTTGTTGAGCAGTGATATTAATTGGTATGAAGGGTGGCAGATTTTAAATGAAATATGGCTATTATTTAATTTCAATCACAACGTACATGACTCTGCATCATTGCAACAATTAGTTTATTGGATTTTGTTTATTTTTGTTTTTTGTTTGAGAGTGGTCCTTTTTTTTTTTTTTTTTTTTTTTTTTCCAGAAGCCAATCCTTTGTATTCTCTCTCTCCCTCAACTAGTATGTAAATTTCGAATTTGCATGGAAATTTCCTTTGAGCATTAAAGGGAACGCTTATTGATTTTACAACTTGAACACTCTGCGTGTGGGGCGCATTGTATCCTGGTTTATTCATGCTCTTGTTTTCTGTGAATTATACTAGATATGTTTAAGTATTTTCCTTAAATATATTCGATTTTTAATGAAATAATCGTTTATATCATAAGATGGACAAATCATTACTATAAAATGTAGTTAAAGCAGAACCGACGAGAAAGAATTGGCTCGAACCAAGAATGTAATCCCGTCAATTCACGCCTAATAATCCGTTCAGCCAGTCGCCGGGTGAGGGGGGGGGGGGGTAGGAGAAGAAGGTTCGCCCTGGGCCCATTTACCAAGTGCACCCACAGGCAGGGAAATTTTTTTTCCATTAATTGCTAACTTCATTGTAAGCAAATTTGAAAAAAAAAATTCAATAAAACATTTTTTTTTTGTTTTTAGTAGAATTTTCTAGTTTTGGATTTAATTAATTATTTATACGCTTTGACTAAAGAATAAAAATTTATTAACGAACCTTAGCATATAATATATAAGAAAGACGCCGTAATGGTCGAGGGTGTTGAGGCGTTGCCAGCTTTAGCTTGAGTCTAGCGGTGACGGTTTGAATCCGGTTGAGTTGGGTTGAAATATATTTATTGGCGAATCCACGAAATGAATCTCGGCCTTCCCATTCTGGTTAGAATAGATAGGTTAGGGGTCTAGAATAACACCTCCCCCTCTAGTATTGCAGAAAGACTCGTCTTGGTCTTGCTTACTCAGTCTAAACCTTGGTCTTGCGCAAGAATCTAGCAGTTACCTACTAGTTTATTACTATTACTGTAATTTAAGAGATATTCCTGTAAATTTTCAGAATGGGGAAACCTAACTAAACTCGAATGAAAAATTCGAATAGTTAAATGCAAAATTATATTAGTTCTACTACTTCTTTACATATAGTAACTAAAATTGTCTATTATTAGTAACTATTTTGCATTAATTTTTCTTCTGTATATTACTCCTAGAATTGGTGTCTTAAGGCTTTATTTGTTATATAAATTAGGCCATTAATCATCAAAATTGTATTTATTAGCTATTTTATTACGACGTTTCGATCATCACTAGGACCATTTTCAAGTCTTATTGAGTCCTCTATTAAATATCCATTATTATTGTCCTATTAATTTTTCAGAAAGAAATTAAATTGTCCTGCTATTTAAGAGTTTCCCCTACGTCATTTCTGGAGGGACTCTTAAATATCAGGACAATTCAGTTTTTCCCTGAAAAATTAATACGACATTAATAATGGATATTTAATGGAGGACTCAATAATAAGACTAGAAAATGGGCCTAGTGATGGTCAAAACGTCGTAATAAAATAGGCAATAAATAAAATGTAGATGAAAAATGGCCTACTTTATATAACAAATAAAAGTATTAATTTTTATAAAAAAAAAAAACGATTTTTTTTAAAAATACTAATTTTGGTCTTGGTACTGCAAAGTACAAAGACCGATTTCAGGCAACATTATCTTCCTCTTCTCCCCTCCCCCCCCCCCGTGTGATAGAAATTATGAGGTAAAGAATAAACGAAAAAAAATAGAAATAGACTATGTATAATTTTTTATTAAATTGATTTGATTTGGGAATCCCTGATTTTATATTTATTATTCATTACTTTAACTAAACATTTTTTCTTTCTTTTTTAGGGGATTCTAAAAAAAAAATAATAATAATAAAAATAAATAAATTCGCCTCGGGCCCAACATTATAGATTGTATTTTATTTTTTTTATTTATTTTTTTATAAAAGCCTTTAATATAAACAAACGGTTTATTGACGTCTCCCCTCTCCCCAAGGCCTTAAATGTTCTATTCTCGCTACTGTCTTTGCAAATTAGTTATATTTCGAATAACAAGTCTTCCTATATAAATTATGTCTATTAATAACTGCTTACTGATATGAGATTAATTTTAAATGAATTTTTTAGGAATATTGTAATGATTTTAATGAATATTTAACGATGTTAAAGGAAATAATAACTGTTATCAATAAGGAAAATAGAATAAAACGGTTTAGAAAAGAAATATCCATTTAATAAAATATAAGTTCTTTAGATGAAACAGGAAAAAATAAATAGAAGACGACCTGATAGCTTTTTAGTTATCTAATTCAGGAAAATCTATTTTATATTTACCTACATCAAATTCTTTGAATTATTTTTCAATCAGATCTTTTGAAGCCTGTTATTGCACCATATACTATATTAGTTTTCTTTTAATTCCAATTATTCTATTATGTATATTGTTTTTAGTTCTCATATATACATAATATTATATTATAAAAATATAAATAATTATAGTTAAAAATTAGTATGTAGTTAAAGTTACACCATAACAACCGATTACTAAGTTAAACAACTAGAAATAAATTTCTCCAAATTAATTTACTACAGTAAATATTTAATAGTTATTTAATTATTAATTAATATTTTTAACTATTTGAAAATTGTTTTTATATTCAAATTTTGTTTTTAGTGAGAAAATGGACTGCTGTTGGTTCGGAACTGTAATAAAGTGTGATTTTAATCAACTCATTTTGTGTTTTTTATTTTATTTTAATAGTTTATTTCAAGTTATTTCTGCGTAAAAATGTGGACTGAGTTTTCAGTTTTTTTTTTTCTCCCCTTTTAGGCTAAACGGGGTTTTTCCGGACCACGGGTTGAGGGGGAGGGTATTAATGACAGAGTTAAAAGCCTCCTCGGCACCGGGGCGCGAACTCGTAGTTAATTTATCAAAATATCTTTTATCAGGTTGCTGGGCAACGCGGTGCTGCGCATAAGTGTTAGTCAGCTCGGTCACTCTGCCCCCACCAGTTTTCTGCTATCAAGCAATAAAAGTTGGAATACCTCAGGGCCGTATCTTAGGACATCCCATAACAATCAGAAACAATGATGGCTATATTTCCTGATGACTCGGTAACACTAACGTCCAACAAAGATGCAGCTAAGATGTTTCAGGTACTTCAAGAGCACCTAGACGACATAGGAAAAGATATAGGATAAAAATGAACAATTCTAATAACCAGTTTGTCTCATTTACACTTCGACATGACTCTCATGTCCTCAAGTATTTTTTAACAATATCGATATACCGAATCCAGTACAGAAATTTGGGTCTCTACTAATTGGCAGACGTTCTAAATTACAGGTGAGTAATCAATAAACTATTTACAAAGTTCTCATTAATTCACTTTGGAAATATAATATCGAGTAATGGGGAATAGCAAATACATCAAATATAAGAAGAATTCAATCAGTCCAGTCAAAAGTTCTTCGGAAAATTGTAGACTGCGTTCCGGCTCCGTCTTAATTCAACTCCGCCAAATCAGCCTTAACGCAATCTACCCACCTTCGTTTTGGTCTACCCCTCGGACGCTTGCCAGTCGGTTCAGCGCATATTAACTTTTTACGAATTCTTCCCTTACTAAGCTCAGTGATTTTGCATACCCATTTTATTCGCCTCAACTTAACTGGATACAGCGTTGTGTAACCACCTAAATTATTCGGTTGACTCGTCCTTTTTCAGTTTGAATATTCTGCGCAATACTTCATTTTCAAAAAATTTGAGACGTTGCTCATCCCTTAATGTAAGCGGCCACGTTTCGAATCCATAAAGAACAGTAGGTAGGATAATGGTTTTGTAAATTCTAATTTTTAAGTTTCGCTATAGGAGGCGAGAAGTAACTAATTTTGGCAAAGAAAATATGTGAAGATAAATATAAAAATATGTGAGTAGGGCGTTCGATCCTACGTCACATCCTCCAGCAAGACTGGAAGGTCCCACTCATTGTTGGCCAGCTAAAACATCGGACCTAGCCGGGAGGATTTCGAGGAATTTGCACTGACCATCTCCACATCCGCCACCCGTTGGACGCTCCCTTACGCGCTAATGATCCCGCGTGAGGTAATAAACATGTAGGTAGCAAATTTATTCTCTCAACAATGTCTATATAACTAAATTGTAGAACTAAAAAAATATATATTTTAATTATTTTACTTAAAAATACTACGGGGTCGTGATTATCTTCATTTGACAATGTAATAATTACGTTTGTTTCGATATTAGACAATCATCATGTGACCTATTCAGGTATAAGGCAGTTCGCATTGTTTTTACTATTAACTTTTGACATCCATCATCCTTCAACCAATGATAAATGGGAAACGTTTAGACAGATTTTCTTTCTGATGTCCTTCTGTGTGGGGTATGTACCAAGCTGTGCTCAGTTCTGCTCCTACGAAACCAGCTTTCGCCAATTTCTTATAAATATGCTGCACTTTCAGCCTAAGATCCGTCGCAAGTCCAAATAGTTAACATTTCTCTTTCCTGCTGAATTTATATTGGGCATCATACGTGTCATAAATGAATGAGTATCATTCCACTTGTATAGTTGTTGTATTTGTAAAGGTCGCCTGCTGTAGAGTCTGAACGGCGTTAACTTAAAGTTAAATGGGGCTCCTTTTTTTTTTTGCAAGTGGGTCGACTATTTTATTCCCATGCAGTTGTTCTCCGAAGTGTGGGAGTACTACTCATTTATACCACAGTAACTTAAAGGATGTGCAGAATCACATTTGGACTTGATGGTCTGTAGTAGGCAGATGGAAAATAAACTATATTCTGGGACAAGGTCCTTAAGAGTAAGTAATAAGTATGCACTAATAAACAAAAACTATGTATGACCAAAAACTAAATTAATTAAAATGAAGACAATATACAAAATAACCTAATATTAGATTTTATTTTTTTGTTATTGTTTAAATTGAATAGTTTTAAGCATTTTAATACAAGTAGCATTTTAGAGAGATAACGAGAGAAATGGAAATTAAATGGAAAAAAAAGTGCTTAAAACAAGGAAAAAACAATTATTATACAGATATTTACTAACCACTTCTATATATTTATTTATAAGCTTTATTGATTGTCCTAAGGATTAACCAGTATGCTGTGTGTACCCACACAACTTAATATAATTGGGCAGCAAGCGTTTATATTTTATGTGAAAATAAAGTGTTTGTCTTTCTCTCATGGTGAGATTTTAAACATTTATATTAAAAAAATAAAAGGTTTAAAAAGAGAATGCAGAGTTTGAAATTGATAATTATTTTTTTTTCAAAACCATGTAATTATTATTTTATTTTATTTTTAATTTAAAAATCGTGTCTGATTTATAAATACAAATTTAAATCAATCTTTGATGCTTACTTATTCGATTACAAATAATGATCACTCACTGATCCATACGGTTTTACATAAATAATAATGATGAAATAGAATGAATAAAAATATTTATCAAAAAATAAACATTATCTTTTACAAACAAATTAAATTAAATATTTATATGTATGTATACGTTATCAATGTCATTTTTTAATATTATATTTCTGAAATCGCGTTATTGTACGCATAATCAATGCACTTCGTGAGCCGAAATTCAATATAATTTAATAATTAATAAAATAATTTTCAGAAAAAAAGATCTTTTGTTCTTAATAATTGACAAAAATATTCTTCACATACTACTCCAGACTCGAAATACATCATAGAGATTATTGAAAAAAAAATTATATTTCTGATTTAAAAATATATTACTCAACAATTTATCTAACAATATAATCTTATTGGTCAAAAATAAAAATCGCTCCTAGTAAGAATGATCAAATAAAATTATAACAGGGGCAATGAAGTCAACCCGTATTGAAAAAATGGAGTCAATTACGAAGCTTCCCTCAATAAAGGATAGGAAAGATGTGAAACTCCTGCACTTAGATGCAAAAGAAAAGTCCGTTTTAAATCATCCCTTTCAGAAAATAGTGAAAGAAATGAATATGAACAGGTTAAAACGGTAAAGCATACTTTATACAACTACAAAACTGGTTTCTGAAATGTACGAAAAGCAAGTAATGTAGAAGGGTCAACATCAGTAGAAGGTAAACCTTCCTGGTTTGAATCTCCGAAACCACAAATTGTTCTGTCAATTTCTGGTACCAAAAGCAAGCAGACTATTTCCCAAGGGGAAAAAAATAAATCCTGGATCCTCTAGTGTTTTGGAATGTGTTTCTAGATCTGGATTTGAAAACCTCTTGTAAATAGACGAAAAATAGGATGAAAAACGGTGCCCATATCATTCTTACATACATAGAATAGAATAGAAAATAATTTTATTCTGGGACGAAGTCCCTTCAGAATATGAAAAAAGTACAGAAATTAAAATTTTACATCTGGCCAGATAAAAACAGACAAAAAGTAAAGATAATATATACATAATATATACAAAATAAAATAAAATAATCTATATACGAAACTCTCGAAACCATACTAAGATACTTAAAACTATGTACAATGGTAAAATATAAATAAACCCTTTTAGAAAAAAAAATAAATGTAAATTCTTCTTAACAGTAAAATCAGTTTTTCTGTTGAAAAAAAATAAAAAATATGTAATTTTACATAAAAGTTAGCTGGCATCTGACTGTTTTTGGAACAGGAATTGGAATAGGAGGGTTTTGAATGTAGATAGGGATAAAGAGTGTCGGATTTTGATAGGAAGGGAATTCCAAAAATTAACAGAGCGAGCAATGAAGGAGTTTTGGAACGAGGCAGATCTGTGAGAAGGAATGTAAAGGTTGGAAGGCCGAGATCTTGTCGAGAGGGAGTGGGTTGAAGACTTGAATTGGAGAAGATTGTAGGCGTAGGAAGGACGATGATTGTTGATGATATGATAGAGGAATGTGCCTAAGAAATATTGTCTTCGAATGGAGGGGAAGAGCCACTCTAACTCAGTGTAGTGGTGAGAGACATGGTACATACTATCTGGACATTAGCTGATCGGGCAGAACTTTATTTTTCAGCTACATAAACAGCAAAGAAAACGATTTTAAAAAAATAGAATTTTGCAATATTCTGAAACAAAAATAACATTCGATAGAAAAAATAAACTATGAAATATGGAATGTTAAATTAAATTACCGAAAAAAACGAAGGATTTCTATATAAGAACAATCTTCACAGATACTCTCAGGTTTATATAGTTTATACAACGGCTCTTTTTGTAAACAATAAAGAATAAAAACTGAAGTTGGCAACAAAGTAATGAAATATAAACAGTAAGGTAGCATTATTCAAAGGGAAAAAAGTCAACTGAACGGATTGGTCCGCTTGGCTTGTTGTTAATTGAAATAATGCTAATTTAATTATATATTACATCTACATTGTCTGCGTGGTTAAACCATTTAAAAATTAAGATAAAAAAAATTAATTGAAAGTTTTATCATTTTTATAAAAGTTTGGTATGTTCGAAGACTTTTTCACACCACTGAAGATAACACAGTAATCCGATTAAAACATTAAAGTCTAAAAATAAAATTAAAAAACGTGTGTAGGTCACACTTTTAAAGGAATCAATAATCAATTATAAATATGAAAAATTCACAGCGTGTGGTAAAAAGTGCTACTGTGGATGGTGGGGAGAAGGGTTCGGAAAAATCCATTGGCGTTTTAGAGACGTCTCCCTCTCCCCCCTCCCGTCAGCTGGGTT